TTATACAAAGTCTGGAACATTCTCACTGTACGAAAATTATTCATTCTGAAAACCGTACTGCAAAAACACAACCAATTAACATTTGACCCCAAATTGGAACAGAGGAGACGCAAAACTCATATCTGCCCTTTGCCTACTCAGAAAACTTCCTTTGCACAAAACTTCTTCCAGTTTCTAGGCCCATTCCTCTACAACCGAATAAATCACATCATATTTATTCTCGTCATAAACCCCACTGTAAAAGTATCGCCTGCGATTATCTTTTGACACTCGACTATGATTTCAATTTGAACATCCATTATATTTTTTTCAAATGTGGGAGTACTATCATTGACTGCATTTATTACATCTGTCGTCGAAGAAACTGTAAGTTCTTTTTATATGCGGTACGAAATTGAACAACGTCTGGATTGTCATTGTAACCTCTCCTAGCCCTCATCAGACCAAAAAACATCTCTAAATGGTCTTGACTTACTTTGTATAGTGGTAAACATCTTAAATTTCTTTTAATAATCAAGTCATCAAACATATTAATGGCATTTTGTAAGGAAATAATGAAACCAGACTCTATGACTAATTTACCGTTCAAACGCTTTAAGTTAGATAAATATTCTTTACATTCTTTAAACAAAGTAATACAGTTTTCAATATTACCAGCACACAGAGCTTTTTTAAATCCTGGCACAAAAATACATCGGCTATTATAAATATCAAAAGTATTGTTGACCATTATAATGAATTTTATAGTAGCAGAGCAATCACGAAACTTTTCAATTTTTAAATTATCCTTGCAATGTAGAAGTGCATCTGCTACTGTCCTACTCAGTAATTGTGAAGCAAGCCTTACTTTATTTTTTTGTTTACTAAAATAAATATCAGCTTGCTTCAGTTAGTTAGCCAAATGTAAACCATTCTGCTGTTTAATTCATGTATAATATGAATATCATAATATTATACCTAGTCAGGTCATAAATTCTGTCACATTTTTAATATAAAATAATTGAAAATAAAATGACTTCGGTAACTGCCTCCAGTTGCTGGATATCGAAGGGTTATTGCTAAGCGTATTTTTGGTGAAATAGGTATTATACTGAGAGAGGGCGCTACTGTACAGCGTAAACATTAGCTCAGTGCAGATAATTTATTTTAATATTATAAAAGTGCTTATTTTATGGTAAAAATATTTCTAAAGTGCAGTAAATTAGTTAAATTGTTTGGAAAAGTGTTTGCAAAGTGATCAAAACAGCTGTTAAAAAGTATTAATAGTAAAACAGTGATCGATGGATTGTGAATAGTCTTTAATCGGAATACCTTCAATTGATGCCTAACACAGTGATTAAAAAGTTACTATATTACAATAAGTCGATTCACCTTAATATTGACTGAAGTTAAAATAAAGTATTAAAAGTGCATTAAGATTAATAAATATAAAATAGGAAATCTGCTATAAAAATATAAATCGCACCTACTGAGATATTTAACGCCATCTACGGTCATTTATTGCTACTAGCTAGCGAAAACAAGAAATTAAGTAAAGGTTCTTGTTTGGATCTAAAAATAGAAAGCAGAAGGAGTAAAAAACTATAGAGGTCGCACTTTTGTTGTTGATATTTGTCTTGTTTATATTTATTTTGTAAACAATGTCTACTGTATGCGAGGGTTGTCAAGAAAAATTACCTAAAAGGGAGTATCTTCGTTGTCTTCTTTGTAATAGCACATACGATTTAGATTGTGCAAATGTATCTGTACAGCGATTTAACAACACGATGACCGCTGATCACAAAAAAATGTGGAAATGCCCTGCTTGCCATTGCAAAATACCTAAAACAGGGAACATTCATTCACCGGTACGTCAAAATGAGTCGGAAAAAACACAGTATACAGCGAATGAATTAGATTATATCACTGTGAGGAAAACTACAACTGGGAGAAATGAAACACTTAGTTCTGAAGACTTGAGCATTCTTGGCGAAACAATTGATAATGAAAATACGAATACCGTTATAACTAACGAAACCTCTTCAATATTGCGAAATTTAGGTGATATTGTAAAACACAAATTGGAAGAAAATAATACAAACATATTATTACAGCTACAAACTATTATACAGACAGAAATAGGCCTGGCAATTAAGGATATACGTGACGAATTGAAAAATGAAACAAAATACTTAAAGGAACAAAATGAAACTAGAAAAATAGACATGGAGAATATAAAACAGCAAATAGAAAAATTACAACAGGAAAATTATATTATCAGAAAGGAGATAAAAGAAATGGAATCAAGGATTTTATCAGCCGAGAAAAATTTCAACCCTGAGCTAAATCTCAAAAAAATTGTTCTTTTCGGATTCCCCGAATATTATCACGAAACAGAATATGAATTATACAATAGATTAAATGGATTATTTCAAGAATTTTTACAAGTTGATTTATTAGGCTATATTGAACAAACCTACAGAATTGGAAAATACAAAGGGCAAGGAAATAGACCCCTAGTGATTGAACTAATTAGTAAAAGAATGGTAAAATATTTATTAGAAAATAACAGTTGCTTCAATAGGACAGGATTGTCAATTTCTGAATTTATGGACAAAAATACTCGCTTGCAAAGGAAAAATATGCGAGAGGAAATGTTGCTAGCTCGAAAAAATGGTTTTTATGCAGTTATTCGTAACAATAAATTATACATAGAAGGAGAAAAAATTAACATGAAAAATAAAACATTAAAAAGTACAGATAACACACAAAATAAAGACTTTGTGAACTTTTCAAGTAGTAATCAAGTAGGCGAGAAAACGGATGGAAAAAATCACAACTTTATCAAAACATGCAAAGTTTATATAATAAACGAGATATTTTGGAATCATTCCTAGAGCAAAATCCGTCACACCATGCATTATGTATTTCTGAAACATGGCTTTCACAGGAAAAACTTCAGATGGTTCAAATTGGTGGATATAAAATAGCTGCCTCATTTTCCAGAAAACATAGAATAGGAGGAGGTGTTTGCGTCCTACTGCAAGAGCATATTGAGTCTATTGAGAATAATGATATAAAGAAAATGTCAATTGAGTATATGCTTGAGGTCTGTGCAATCGAGCTAGTTAAAGAAAATATACTTTTAATTGTAATGTACTGGAACAGACGGGAGGAGGTCTTATTTTATAGCCGATTAAATAAAATTCTGAATTATGTAAATAGCAAATATACAAAATACAAAGTAATAATAGGTGGGGATTTTAACATTAACTTATTAGATCGTAACAAAAAGGCATTAGAATTCTTAAACTTTATGTTAGAATTTAAATTTACTCAACATATTAAGGAACTGACACATTTTGCACCAACATCTTCAACATGTATAGACCACATCTTTACCAATTTTGATAGTAAGCAAATAAAAACCTCGGTGGAAGCTTTGGGTTTTTCATATCACTCAGGTATATACGTAGAACTCAAGATACCTAAACAAGTAAAGGACAGCACTTGGTATGTAGAAAAGCGAATATATAATAAAAAAGCAATCACAGATTATAAAGAAAAATTACAGTTAGTTGATTGGAATAAAATAATTATTAAAAATAAAAATATAAATGAAAATTATGCTGCATTTAACAATACATTATCAGAAATACTAAATCAATATATCCCTAAAAGAAAATTTAAAGTCATAAAAAATAAAAAAGTCTGGTTAACAATAGGAATAAAAAAATCATGTCAACATAAAAGGCTACTTAAAATATTTAACACTAAATCTAATAATCCTATATTAAGAACACATTATAAAAAATATATAAAAATACTTAAAAAATCTATAATATGTGCAAAAAAGTTACACTTTATAAACAGAATGAAACAATCTAATAATAAAGTTAAAACTATGTGGAGTATAGTGAATGAAACGACAAACAAGAAAAATATTAAAGATAAATGTAATATAAAACTAAATTATAACAATATAATGTATTCCGAACCTAAATCCATTGCAAATATTTTTAATAACTTCTTTTCTTCCGTTGGTGAATCAACTTTGTCGACTGATAGCGGCTGTGGTACTCACGCGCTCAACCCTACGCTTAACACCATGTTTCTAAGCCCAGTGGAACCTTACGAAGTAAGGAAAATCATTAGGAATTTAAAAAATAAAAATAGCTATGGATTTGATGAATTTCCGCCCCGCTTAATCAAGGAATGTGCCGATCAGTTAACTTTGCCATTTACAATGTTGATTAATCAGTCCTTCAAAGAAGGTGTTTTCCCTACATTACTAAAAACAACAATTATCAAGCCTATCCATAAGAAAAATGACAAATCAAATCCTAACAATTACCGTCCCATCGCCTTGCTGTCTACTTCGTCAAAGATATTTGAAAAAGCAATGAATGATCGTGTTATTAAGTTCTGCGAAAAGTTTGAAATCTTCGATGAAAGCCAGAATGGCTTTAGGAAGAAACGGTCTACAGTTTTGGCTGTTTATAAATATGTTCAGCAAATAATTAAAGTAATAGAAGATAAAAAATATGCTATTGGAATTCTATTGGATATGTCGAAAGCATATGATAGTGTTAATCATAAAATACTACTTAATAAATTATACGGAATAGGCATTCGCGGAACAGCGCACAATTGGTTTAAAAGTTATTTGCAAAACCCTCAGCAATTTGTTGAAATAGAATATTTTGATCATATACACAAAGAAATAATAAAGGTTCTCTCTGAAAGTAAAACTATAAACGCTTCCATTCCTCAGGGGAGCGTCATCGGATGTCTCCTTTTTCTAATTTATATCAATGACCTCCCTAAAACAATAGAGGAACCGTGTGTCCTATTTGCGGACGATATTTCTCTTCTCACATCTTGTAAAAACAACAACAACTTACAAACCAAATTAAATTTAATAATGACCCAGACTTTTAACTGGTTAAACAAACATAACCTTAGAATAAACTTTGATAAAACTAAATTAAATTAAACCTTTCACCCGCGTCAAAAATTACCGCTAAAATTCTGTTATAGTTTTCAAAACAAAAATATCGAATGTGTGAATGATTTTTCATTACTGGGTATAACTATAGACACTAACTTAAATTGGAAATCTCACATCCAGATGTTAAAAAATAAATTATCTAGTTTTACATATGCACTTCGAGAGGTCAAAAAAACAACAGATCTAAAGACTGCTCTTATCACATATTATGCTTATGCCAATGCCTGGTTTACCTATGGAATCATCTTGTGGGGGAACAGTACGGACGTATCCTCTTTATTTACACTACAAAAGAAACTTATTCGTATTATTGTTAATATTAACCAAACTGAAAGTTGTAAACCTTACTTCCAAAAATATGAAATTCTCTCTTTACCAAGCATTTATATATTTGAGATTTGTAAATTTGTAAAAAAATACTCAATTTTTTTTACTAGAAGAGAAAACATTCCTTCAAAATATACATCGAGACACAAGAAAAACCTAATGGTTCCAACTACTCGCCTTAAATTATGCTCATCGAGCACTTATAATATGTCTATAACAATCTATAATAAATTACCTGAAAATTTAAAAAATGAAGAAAATTACAATGTTTTTATTAAAAAAATTAAGTTAATGTTATTGAATAAATGCTATTATAGCCTCCAGGAATACCTAAATGATAAAACTACTATGGAATAAATATAACAAATACAATATTATTTTTATTATAAAAAGATATAATACAATACTTACATAATTAATAATCGTACATAAATCATAAATGTAATTATACAATATCTTATTGGAGTAGTATGAATAAATAATTTTTATGGGTTTTAATTCATTGGATATAACAAATTATATCACAATAAGGAATTATGAATAAGACGTCCTCTCCTCTTGCAATTGCGATACCCTACACTACAGGGTCCATAATGCACTTTTGTCTATATGTTACCACCTTTGTATCTCCATTATGGTCTGCAATAAATGAATTGAATTGAATTGAATTCTTAGTCTTGTCTGTTTCTTTATCAGAGTTTCAATTTTTGTTAACAAAATCGGTACGAGACATTCTGCAAAAGTTAGTCAATTCCTCAGATTCTTCACTATTCATCTCACTGAAAAAGTTTTTCATTACGTCCCTGAAACAAAAGCCAGGTACCTAGTCAGGTCATAAATTCTGTCACATGTTTAATATAAAATAATTGAAACAAGTTTTATTCATTATGTAAATTTACTTTTTTATATAGTCATAACTAGCTGACCCGGCCACGCGTTGCTGTGGCTAAAGTTTTTGTTATATTACATTATAGTAAACAATCTAAGAGGAACAATAAGAGAACATCAGTCACGGAGTCCACTATGCTTTTTCACACAGATGGTATTTGTAAAAAAATATGGTGATCTCCTTATTTGACTTTCTACTACTATAACCCTTTAGTACAATGAAATTATTTACGAACAAAGACGAAAATGAGATTTGAAGGGGAAGTACGTTGAACACAATTACAATTACACACTTGATATTAAGCCGAAATCAATAGGTACAAAATAAAAATTTATCAGATTTATTATTTCCATTTAATTTTATAACAAATATAAGTATATTACAGTATAATATAGTAAATAACATGTGACGCTTAAACTCATGAATGAGGTAGGCAAGGCAGACAGTTAAACTTTTAAACATTAATATCTATTTTTTTTAATTATAAATACTTTCAATTTCAATTTAATTTAACACCAATCGGTGCACAATGTTTTTGGTTAACCTGTCTTTAGCTAACACAAATAGATTCGACGGTTTCCCAACACGTGAACACGCAACATATAGTTGCCCATGAGAAAAACATGGATTTTCCAAATCTAAACCACAAATGGACATTTTGACCTTGAGATTTATTTATAGACATGGCGAAAGCTAAACGAATTGGAAACTGTAGCCTTTTGAAGGGTATGGTAGAATCTGATGGTACATCGGAATACGTGGCAGCAGGACCACTTTTCCTTTAAACTTCCCAGACAAAATGGTTGCTTCAAGAATGTTTCCGGTGATCTTTTTGATGATCAAACGCGTACCGTTACATAATTGAGGTGGATTCAAATTACGGAGGAGAATAATAGGGGATATACCAATCTTTAATCGAAGATTATGTGGTGGCATTCCAGGGATATCAAATGAATTTAAAATTTCAATCGGAAAATTTACACTTTCATTTTCATCAACAACAGTATCGATTGATTTAAAAGACATCAGATCGCCTGGTAACAACTGTTGTATCTGGAAGTTAATTTCGTCAACATCAACGTTTTTGGCTGCCAAAATCGCCCGTTGACTAAGCCATTCATGATTCAAATAATTATTCTGTAGATCCGGGAAAATACTCTGAATCAATTCATTTTTATCCTGAACAACAGTGCAAAAATTGTCTGGTAGTTTAATGCATTGCGTATTTGGTTGCAGTTCTATTTTACCGTTCCCAATATCTAGTAGTTGTTCGGAAAATATTTGTGCTGATGGATCATTTTGCAATTGTACTCGCATATTTATGGTCAATCGAAGTGTTTCAACACTTCGCCATAAGAATGATTGTTTCAAACATGCATTAATCTCATCCGCGAAAGTAGAGCGAGGTATAACCGGTAAGGTCTGCCGGAAGTCACCAGACAAAAGTAAGATAGCACCACCAAAAAGTTTATTATTGCTGTTTAAATCTTGCATAGTTCTGTTTAATGCTTTAAGTGAATATTTGTGTGCCATTGCGCGCTCATCCCAAATTATTATAGAACTCTACCGCAACACTGCAGCTATTCCACTATTCTTTTTGATGTTACACATTGCATCTGGTTTATTATGAACGTCCAATGGCAGCTTGAATGTTGAATGTGCTGTTCGCCCACCATCCAGTAAAGTAGCCGCAATGCCTGACGATGCTACTGCTAATGCGATTTTTTGTTGCGACCGTATTTTGGCAAGAATCAACGATATTAAAAATGTCTTACCGGTTCCACCGGGTGCATCCAAGAAAAAAAAACCGCCTTGTTCAGCAGCAACAGCCAGCATAGTCCGATCACAAACAATTTTTTGTTCTGCTGTCAGTAATGGTTCACTGTTCATGATAATTGTTGCTAAACTTCCATGGTCATATTGATTTTCTCGTTGTAAATCGGTATTGACTAAGTCGGTGGCTGGACGATTAGGTGATGGCATACCATAATGATTAAGTGGTAAATTTGAAATAAGAACACATAAATCCTCGATCAAGACCAATGCTTCATTGTACATCTCTGGTGTATAATCTATGTTTTGGCATTGATTTGTTTGTCTAATTCGGTGCAAGATGTCTTCTGTCATACAATTTTTATATTTTTCCCACAAAGTTTGTGCTTGCGAGGGATAACATGTCGTCAAAATAATTGCAAACAACTGACAAATGTTATTCGGTGTTGATGTCAACGCAGCATCAGCAAGCGTTAAGTCCCAATGGTTATCGTCTTCTAGCAATTGCAGTTCACGACATGCATCCTGGTATGTATTGAATACTCGACCATTAACTGTTCGTAAAAATTCAAAAGACGTTGGTCCGGGAACATTCACCAATAACAAACGTAAACAGAAGCACTCACGTTGCTTTGGATGTACCGTGTAAAGTCTCCCCAATGTCTTAGCTTTGAATATGCCTGTAATGGAAGGATGTGATTTTCCTTGTTTCCGTGGCTCCCATTTTTTACTGGATTTGTTCCATGTGAAATAACGTGGAATATCACCATACACCAATGTCTTCGCGAATTGGCCAAAAACATCAGGTTTTTGACACAATGTAAAAAATTCAGTTAGAGTCGTTTTCGGAGCTTCGAACGCTCTTTGGAGAACATTTTCTTCAGTGAAGTATGTACAGCAGGATCTCTTTCGTGGATGGGAAAGCTGAGAATATAGCTTCATTGCTGCTAATGTATCTGCCCATTTGGTATCGTGCTATTTCGTCATTTTTATTTATGTTTTGTACTTCAAATATGGCCAAATCACTGCCTTTGTTTACATATTTACAAATATACTTAATTGATTTAACAGAACTGCAAAGCTCAACATTGATATGAGCTTTGTTAGTTTTTGAAAGTAGTGGTGAGTATGGTACCACCCACTGATTATCAACTTCAACTTGATTTGGAAAGTTCGGCAGTCGCATTGTTTACAATGTGTGGCCACCATTATCAGTACTTCTGCGGCGATACATTGGATAACCATCAATATCCGTGATCGTGTCATTCGTATGCGGCTTTGGGAAGTTTTTTTTTACATTTTCCATTTTCCATGCACGGTGACGTCATGTTGAAAGCACCGCATGACCCATGGATCATGTGTTTGGTGACAATATCAAATAATTCTTGATCAATTAATGGGTCTGGAATTTCGGCTGAAATTATTTGATCGATTTCTTCAGGACGGATTCTATCTTTAAGCCAAATCAAAATGTGGGCATGAGGCAAACCTCGCTTTTGCCACTCTATCGTATACAGCCAACAACGTGTGATACCAAAAATTGAATATTTAACAATAAAATCAATTAAGGATTTCAATTTTTGTTTAAACACACGTGCAGTTAAATCATGACGATGAATGGCTTGTTGTCCTGGCAATAGTAAAGTTTGTACCTCTTCCCAATTCGGATTACATGTGAATGTAATAAATAAATCCGGTCGGCCGTAATGACGTACGTAAGTCATCGCATCTTGTATGTATTCCTGCATGTTCCGTGGACTGCCGATGTAGCTTGAAGGTAAAATGAAAGCATTACCGATGTCATTGGGATTTAAATTTCCATCGATGTTTCCAGCAACAGCATGTCGTAAGTGAATATATTCTTCCGATCGTAGTTTTGCCTGGTTGAATCGAAGGAATCGCAAGCGTTCGCTTTCGACCTTAGCATACATATCAACAATGTATTGATGGAACAGCTGACGATATCGAAGGATATAATTGTCTTGATGTTGTCTAACCATTATTCGGTGTGCGTAGTAGTTCATTGAGCTAACTTTATTATTTCTGTAATCACCTAAAAAAATAAAAAATAAAATGCAATACGAAATTAAAATCTATACATACAGTAAGAAAGTAAATAGATAATTGTCAAATTTACCGGTATTTGGATCATACTGTTTGATATTAAGGTGATATTCATCTTGTCCTTGCCAAAATATCAATGGATATTGTAGTGCGTCATATGAAAGGTGTAGATCCGAAATCGTACTGACAGTGTTGTCTCGCCGTGTAATTTTTATAGATCTTTTGTCAACTGGATCACCAACCATGATAACAGCAACCTCATCAACAGTTGGAGCGTTGAATCTACCAGCATGTTCACCTAATGGTACTTTGTCGGCTTTTATGACGATTTGATAATTGTCATTTTGCAGTCGTGGCGAAACTCTTTTGATCAATTGAATTAGTTGATTGTGATCTTCTAAAAAATTTTCCAATAATATCACAATTGCTCTTTCCTCTGCTTGTTCAATAAAATAATACAGGCACCGAGTCGTCACGCGCTCTTCACAATCGCCCATAAAATAATTTTGAAGAAATTTCGGATTGTAATCAGGCATTGGCATCAGTGATCCGATTTTATGGTACACCTGGCCTTGAATTTTGAATGTAGTTTCAAAATTACGTCCATCGGATGCACGATCGCAAATTTTAGTTGCCCCAAATGACGTCATTTGGAAGCAAGAATTAAATTTGCGTATCTTACGCAAAAATAATTTGGAATCATCTGAATTGCCTGTAAGAAGGGATAATAAAGGCTCCGGCGGAGCGGATAGAGGTGACAGCACAACTTTTCCTGATGCGCAGCACATGCCGGCTGCTTCATTCCGAAATTTCAATGCCTGACAATATTGACATACTTTATTCATTCCACCGATAGCAATTTTTGAATGCGCTGAGTAGTTAATATCTGGTGCATATTCAAAGGCAAGCCGAACGAATGATGCACGTGTTAATGAGCGGCTGATCCGTTGCCTTTGTCGATCTAGTACTCGTACTGTAGCTATGTTTCGTTCTCGTGCCGTTCTTGTTCTCGTAATATTCTGATGCAGACGTTCGTCACGCTGTTCTTGAGATTCTTGTGCACGACTTTCTGCAGTCCTGATTCTTTGCGCTGCATTTCTTGTTTCGATTTGTTCTGGTAATTGCTGAGCTCTTACAACACGTTTGCGTCGTGACCCTTTGCTGCTCGCGTTGTTGAGGTTAGATTTTTTCGGTGGCATTTGACTGAAAATAATAATTTAATCGTTTAAATATTAGAAAGAGGAACTGAAAAACATGTTATCATAGCACATTGAAATAATAAGTGCAAAATAATTTTCAATGGAGGTTAAATAAAAATAATATAAAAAAAATTGTACAATTATTGAAAAAGTGTGGGGAGCTTTGTGCAATTTTCTCATTGATATATGATATATTAATTAACTTTTATAAAACTATGTGATATTACTTACATGTATAAATTGAAATTATTGTTCCTGTGCTCCTACTGTGGCTATGTCTCGTTCTCCTGCTGCTCTTGTTCTTATGATATTCTCTTGAAGACGTTCGTTACACTGTTCTTGAGATTCTTGTGCATGACCTTCTGCTGTCCTGATTCTTTGAGCTGGATTTCTTGATTCAATTTGTTCTGCCAACTGATGGGCTCTTTTAATACGTTTGCGTCGTGCCTCTCTGGTGCTCGCGTTGTTGAGGTTAGATTTTTTCCGTGGCATTTGACTGAAAATAATAAATTAATCGTTTGAATATGAGAAAAAAAAATTGAATATCATTCTAATTAACTTTTATAATTATGTGATAATACTGACATGGACAAAAGTGGCTCGTTGTTCACCAGTAATGGGCGTTATAAAAATATATGCTATATATATATATATATATATATAGGTAATTTCCACGAAGCATTTATAGCCGTAACAAACCTTACTAATGCTTGTCTTGTAAGAGGCAGGCTATCATCCAACACTTCAGTGCCCATATCTACATAACCTTTGTATTTGCTTTTAGAGCTATGAAATACCAATCCTTTCATTTTTGCCATTTCATCTACATACAGATTTACATAAATTGGATGTTTACTACATGCAGACAGTTTTTCAAGTGTGTTAAATATCTCTGTAGTAAATCCTGGTTCAGCATTAATTTTTTATACCAATTAGTAATAGTTTTAGGATGAGGCAAAATTGTATTAAAAGTGTTTCTCACATAATTGTATGCTCTGGGTGAATAAAAATGATACAATCTTAACTCAGGTGAATATATTTTTTTAAGTAGAACCCTGTGCTTTTTTTAAATATCTAGCAAGAAAATCTTTATTACTACCAGGAATATTGTTCAAAGTATGAATGTCATCATGATTTAACCTATTTTTCAATTCTGAAATAATTTCAGAGAATTGTGATACCTTTTTTTTTCAACCGTGTGCGTTGTTGACGCAATGCCTTAAGTTTTTATTTTTTTAAATAAGCCTTTTCCTCATGGTTTCCACTTTGCCATCACTGGACATCGTAACAGGAACTGGAGGCTGTGAAGGAACAGCATAATAGGTAGTTAGTAAATCGTTGCTATTCTGACAAACGCTCATTGAAGCAAACAAACAATGACTATACTCTACTCTTAATTAAAACGTTTTTGAATCATTGGTTTATTTGTTTATCTTTTGTCTCAGAGGAAGTTAATTAAAGATGGTCAGTGTAACCGGACTGATAACAAAAAATCACATTCAATATAAATTATTTACTTTCTCAGTACCCTTTTATTAAGTAGTATGATAATGCTTTCAAAAACCTTTATAGGGTTTGTTTACCTTTTGGCCTTTGAATAGAGTATTTACTAAAATATAACTAGAAAAAATTCCACGCGGACTTGTAGATAATAATTAGATAATTTTTAAATTATGGTGATACGAAGTAATCACGATCTATTTATGTAATTGAAAACTACGTTCGTATTTTGAAACATTAATTAGTTTTATAAATGTTTCAAAATACAAACTAACTAAGTAACATGTAGGTAGTTGAAATTAAAGAAATTGTTGATAGTTTAACATATTATATTAAATTCTGACCTGCATGTGCTATCATCACAGTTAACTGATACTTACTTATTTTTTTACTAAATCTATCCGCCAATGTGTAAGAGTTATGTATTTAAGCACGTCGAAATGCTAGAGATTAAAAAATAGGAAGCATTAGTGTTAACTAATGTTAACTGATATTGCACCTTGCTACTAATTTCACAAAATTATTCTAGCCTTCTGGGTAGTTCTGAAAATAAAACAAATATTTTTTTTTTTTTTTTCTAGTAAACTTTTCTTTAGATTTAAACATCTAGCAGTTAAATGCTTAAAAAATAAATAAAATCATAACAAATAAATTAGTTACTTACAGTTTACTCCTTCCATTTTTAAAGAACAGAATTCACTCTTAAGCACTTTGAACAGCAACTTGTTCCGAGCACGACGTAGATTCAACTGACCTCCAAACAATGATACCCGCCTTTTTATAGAACTGACGAAGTCCATAGACTATATTTTAAGTATCGGATGACAGTAGAATCTATGTCTCACAAAATTAGTTATGGACATATAATTCACATTTATTTTATAATTATCTTAATAACGATAATAATAGGTGATGTCGTCGTTAATAATAGTAACGCTAACATTAGTAATTGAGAATTGTAACAATTGTAATTGATAAGTAATTTAAATCAAAAACAAATTATATCAAAATACGTCTCTGGAGAAGTACCTACACTCAAATATTGTGAAATATAATCGCTTTTGAAAGTAAATAATGATAATTAGCAAAAAATATTCAATCATATAATTAATAATGTAACGACTTAAGACATAATTGTTACTGAACTACAACAGGAATAAATGATTAAAATTATTAATTCTTGGTGTATTTTTTCATTACGCCAAGCACCTCTTGCATGCATTCAAGTATTTTGTTATTGGGCATTGAAGTTAATTCTATTTCTATTATTTTAGCAAAGCGAATGATAGTTTCACTTCTTTCATTATTCGTGCCTTTAATCGCCTTTTCACATTTTCCGTAGATTCCATACCACAGATCCTTTTTAAAACGTTACCTGCAACAAGTTAAATATCGTAAAATTGTCCTCTATATTAAATAATAATATTTTTTTAACACACAACAATTAGCCTAGCCTAGTTGTAGGATACTAGGGTAACGTTTAGAATACATATAATAATAAATAAATAAATATTTTTAACATTCACAACAATTAGCCTAGCCCCAAAGTAAGCACTGTACGGATTGTGTTATGGGAAATTGGGGTAACGTATAGAATACATATAATGATACATATTTAAGTACATTTATATAGAAATACATATAAACATCCATGACTAGAGTACAAATGCTCGTATTCATCATACTAACATTTGCCCCCACCGGGATTCGAACCCGGGACCTCTCGAGTAGGCGACACCTTGAAACCCGGCGTTCATACCACTCGACCACGGAGGTCGTCTAAATATATATATATTGCTTAAATAGTTAAGCAGTGCAATCACCCCTCAAATGATTTTTTAGGGCAGGTATGTATTTAGGTTACATAACTGCCTAAAAAAAATCCCATAAATATCTACTTTCCTAGGTACGGACAGTATCAAAAGTTGATGACCACATTCAGATTTCCAAAATCACCATAGACAATTGTGATTTTTAGTTTTGTTTATGTTTATTATGTTATTGAAAGCCTGGCAATGTCGCGAATGTAATACATGGGTCATTGTCAAATTTTGCGCAGGTAAACAAGTCCCTCAACATTATTTATTTTTTTGTTATTAATAATGTCAAAATCCTTAACGAATTATACACTTCTGGACACATCTATTGGCCCACCTTAGAGTTTAGGTTTCGAAGGCCCCTACCGAAATATGATTGCTAGATTGAACAAAAACTGTTGATGCAGTTTTAAACCTGATACATTTTACCATCTTTTTCGATCGTATTGTTTTAAATTTGAATTCAGAATACCATACGACATGGAGCTACGCCTAACAAGTCGGATATGCGCCTTCTTAAAGGCAATTGATTTTTGAATAAAAAACATGTTCTATCAAATAAAGGTTTAATTTAATAACGCGTGTTGCCTCCATGGGCATCTACCACAGCTCTTATACGATTAGGCATAGAGTTTATCAACCGCTGTATGAAATTTTGAGGGATCATCTCCCATTCCTATTCTATGGCAGTTTTCAACTCCTGCATCGTCTGGGCAACTGGCTGACGAGCCCTAACACGTCTTTTTAGCTCGTCCCACATGTGCTCAATGGGGTTCATGTCTGGGCTTCTGGCTAGCCAGTCCATAACTGTGATGTTCACATCCCGAAGATATTCGCTGACGATGCCGGCCGCATGGGCTCTTGCATTATCATGCATAAAAAGGAAATTTGGGCCCACATAGTCCGCGTATGATATTACGTGAGGTTCTAAGCACTCACGAATGTACCTTTCAGGATTTAATGTTGGCAGCCGTGGTCCTGTAACAACCTCAAGTTGAGTTTTGCCGCTCGCGGATATACCGCCCCAGACAGTCCATGAGCCACCGCCATAAGCAACCCTCTCTTCAAAGCAGCATTGTACGAAACGCTCTCCCTTACGTCGGTAGACCTTCTTCCTTCCATCATTGCCATGTAACACAATTTTAGACTCATCAGAAAAGAGTACACGGCTCCAATCGTGCTGTGTCCAATTTAAATGACTGCGTGCGAAATGAAGGCGCGCTGTTCGGTGGGCTCGCGTTAGTTTGGGCCCATTAGCTGGCTTGTGTGGTACCATATCGCGTTCTTTTAACCTTCTCCGAACAGTTCGAGCGCTCACAGATACTCTGTGGAAGTCGCGAATTTGTTTTTGTATCTCAATGGAGGTAAGGTGACGATTTCTCAAGCTGGTCGTCACGATGAATCGATCCTGCCTTTCAGTTGTGACCCGAGATCGTGGCCTTCCTTGGCGACGAACAAAGCCGCCATTCTCTAGGTACCTCCGATAAACATTTCGAACCGCAGATCGACTTAAATTAAGTTGAGCATTCACGTTTCTTTGGCTGTGTCCGGCCTGAAAAAGTGCCACAGCTTGGGCGGCGACTTCAGGTGAAGTATCCATAGATTATTGATAGAACCTCACCTTAATGTTAAGAATAAGTAATGTTCGTTGCAAAACCAAAGATATCAATCACTTTTTCAAGAATTAAATCCAAGAAAACCAATAAAACCAAGTTTTCTTAGTATTAGATTGTTTGATATCAACACAGGCTCCAAATTGTCTTTTGTTTCTTTAAATTTTGTGTTCGAAATTCAAAAAAAGACTATTGACTGAAATTGTGAATGTGCCAGGTTCAAAACTGCATAAAAACTTTTTGCTCGACCTAATATAAAATTTTAGCTAGGACCAAACGAAACTGAAAATACAAGGTGGGCCAATAGATGTGTCCAGAAGTGTATATTAAATACAAAATACATCGCTATAGCGAACATCCATTATTGGAATAAAGACTCAAGTTTCGATATTTTTCAATTTTTTTCAATTAACAAAATGGTCATTAGTGGTAACAGAAAGGTTTTCCTTACAAATTGTACCTGTCCCATGTAGCATTCCGTTACATTAAACATCATATAAATGCATTTTCTACTATAGTAACCCTCTTAATCTCTTATCTATTAGACAAGTCCGTCCGTCCGTGGTGCTGTTTCAGCGGCCAAACCGTAAGAGATAGATAAAGAAAATGTTTAAGTTATAAGTTGAGAATAGTCTGATAAGACTACAAACCGGATGTGAGTAACGTAGCACTTCCGGTTTTCGAGAAATCACGTGATTTCTATTTCAAACGAAACCACGCAAAATCTCCGAAGTTCTCAATTAATTAAATACATTTTTTTTTGGTGAACATTTGGTTATAAATTATAATCGTAAACAGAGTATTATAAATATTCAATAAAATATGTTTTAAAATCAGTCAGTATTAAAATTTAGTTTTTAAATAATTTTCTAAACTTTGTCCCACGTACTATCTGGAACCGGCTGGTTCACTATGTTACTCACTAATTCACGACTCAAAATGAAGATGGCGCTGATCGCGCTGTTTTGGACACTGTTTTATTTTGGGCGAAATGTCTGCACGTCCCCACGACGAACGTGGGAGTTCGTTAGGTTGGAGGGAGGGGTATGTCGCTCGACAGTCGACCGCAAGGTGTTGAACGTGCTGCGTGTTTAAATTGCCCGTCCACCTTGTTACCTACCTATTCACGTAAGTAAATGAATATTTTTTCATTAGTTTACGTTCAGTTTATTGTCTGAGTGGTAAATGTGTTAAATGTGAACGAAATATTTTACTTTACGCTTTATTTTTTGACTTGTGTATAATGGAATGTAAAATTTACCACTCTGTTGCTACGCAACTCTGTTACTATTGTGTGGTAACAGAGTTGTTTAGAAAGTAACAGAGTTGCATAAGCCATTATATTCTGTTATTTGGCTAAAATATTATGTTTCAAATGTAATTTTTTTAATCAGTTGTCTCAAGCAATGGATAAATTTGTTATATGTATACAAATAAATCGAAATAATAAATATAAATAACCCCAAAAACTCATTGTTACAGGATATTATGCGTTGTTTGCGTTATTAAAATGTCTCTTACGCCTGCTGTGAAGCAGCGACGATACCGGGAACGCCGTAGAAATAATCAAGAGAAGGAAGAAGAAACCAAAAGAAAAGATAGAGAAAGATACCATGCAAACAAACGCTTAGTAAGTGATTTAACAACACGTCAACATCGAGCAATAAAAAAGAAATGGCGATGTGCGAATGCCAGACGAAGAGATAAAGCCAAAGCTCTCAGTATGATTATGCACACTCCAGAGTCATCACCCCCTCGTTCAAATAGTCCAGCCATCACAGATCAACATCAAGTTGTTTTGAGAGCTTATCGTCATTTATCTACACCTCGGCTGTCTACTTCTCGTGAAAGCACTCCTAACTCTACATCAGCAGCGGTACGCGGTAGAAAGCAAATAAAAACAAACAGATCAAGGCTATTTAGAGATAATATGAAATTAAAGGAACAATTAGAGGCAGTAAACAAGAGATACGAAAAGTACAAAAAACGATACAACAGTGAAAAACAAAAACGATTTCAAAATGAAGACGGCAATCGATCTAATCAACAGAAATATCAGATTTTATCAAATGCTATTAAAAAACGCTATAAAAATGTAAAAACCCGGAAGGAAAAAGTTGCTATTCAAAAAATATTTGAAGAGAAAACCGTTAAAGGTTCTAGGCAGAAAACACAAATTATAAAAGAATGTCTTGCTGTGGACCAGGGTTACGTAAGAAAACAACAACCTCTTTTTAAAGTAAATATTTTAAGTACTAAAATCAAGGATTTTTTCGCACGTGACGACATATTAAGGGCAACTGCTGGAAAAAAGGAAGCCGTGTCTCTAAAGAAAGATAAAATGCAGAAGCGCTACTTACTCGATAATATGAAGAACCTTTATGTATCTTTTAAGCAGGAAAATCCTGCCTTGAGATGCAGTTACAAAACTTTTACACGTTACAGACCATTTTTTGTTGTGCCTCCTACTGTCGCTGCAAGAGAAACATGCTTGTGTCGAATTCATACTAATATCCAATACTTAGCATTTGCTTTGTGCAAAAACAAAGTTATTCCAACATCAGATCTTAATAAGATTATTGTAGACCAAGTATGCAATCCAGATTCATTAACATGTATGACAGGAATCTGTTCCGTATGCCTATCAAAAACAACTAATTTTGATACGTCAAAAGACGAAATCATAGTAAGATATCCTTAATGGATAAGTAAAACTGAAGTGATAGAGAAGGCAGGAAAGAAAATCAAAGTTACAAAAAACGTTAAAGAGGAAACAGAAAGTACGGGAAAGGCACTGATGGAAAAGTTTGAAATTACACTAGAGGAATTTAAAAGGCATATTTATTACATCAAGACACAGTATAGAAACTACAGAAAATGCATAGATGAGTTGACCACTAATGAAATTGCACTGCACATTGACTTCAGTGAAAATTACAGCTGCAAATGTTTTGAAGAGGTACAATCTCATCATTTCGGTGGTTCCCGAAATCAAGTGTCCTTGCACACTGGAGTGATCTACAGTCGTTGTTCAGACCATAAAATAGAGGTATCATCGTTTTGTACCGTGTCTGGAAATCTTTCACACAATCCAGCTGCAATATGGGCTCACCTCCATCCCATCTTTGCTTCAATTCAAGAGAAATTTCCGGAAGTAAATGTCCTGCATGTATTTTCAGACGGCCCCGCCACTCAATACCGCCAAAAACAGAATTTTTATCTGATATGTACAAAGTTATTCTCTAACTACCAGTTTACCAAAGTAACATGGAATTTTTTCGAGGCGGGCCATGGCAAGGGTGCAGCAGACGGGATCGGTGGTTTTTTAAAACGGGCTGCAGACCAACTTGTTGCATATGGAAGTGATATATCTGATGCCACAAAATTCTATCTTGCTTTGAAAGATGTGAGTAAAGTGAGGCTACATCTGATAACAAATGAGGATATTGAACAAAGTTCAACACAGATCCCGGACAATATCGTGCCATTATTAGGTACAATGAAAGTTCATCAAGTTTTCTCTGAGGAGCCTGGAGTTCTAAAGTATAGAAATTTGAGTTGTTTTTGTCAGCGCGGCTTTTGCACTTGTATGAATCCTAAGAATTACTTTCCATTGAAAACTGCAGTAGAACAGTCAACTCCCTCCAATTGCGATAAAAATATGCTGTCCGATATAAGCAACCTTTATCAAAAGCGAACAAAAGGGTTTTATAGATTTGTCTATAGCTCAGACTCCGATGATATTGATGGTGCCCCTTTGATATCTTTGAAAGAAGAAAGAAAAACCTACCTATTCAGTTGCACAACCCTGCACATCAAAGGAAAATGAAAATGCCTTGATTGAAATGAAAAATATTCATGCTAATAAAATAAAAGAAGGTATTTGCGTCTTAGTAAAAGTTTCCAGTTCAAAATAGGATTACGTCTACCTGGGTAAAGCCTTGTCTGAAGTAGAAGATGATGGTGAGGTTAAAATTATGTTTTTTGAGGCAATTGACAACACTGCAACAAAATTCAAATTAGTTGAGACTGATTTATCCTATGAGCCTTTTGATAATTTACTTGCCATTGTTCCAGAACCTAAAAAAGTCTGCAAAGGTAAAAGGGTATACTACCAATTTGATACTCCCTTAGATATATTTGAGAAATAAGTAACTTCAACTTTGTAGTTCCTCTTTCAAGACATTCTAATTTTTATTTCTATTAAGAGAAGAAATATATAAGAAAGTAAGCTCTTGATTGGTAAATTATAGTCATAAGTTTATTTTTGATATTATTAAAGTTTATTGATTAGGTGATTTAGATCTTATGCTTAATAAGTGCAAATTATTACGTAATGTACAATAAAAATAACAACTATGTTACTGTGTTACAACTCTGTTACTTTTCTGTCCCAAAGATTAAAGAACTAAGTAAGATTTTAAAGAGAAGCTAGTCAATATAATATAGCAAATATTGCGATGCGTTAATTTAATAGATATTTATACAGTATTATGTTCCAGTTAGCTGTTAATATATAGATATTTGGAGGACTTAAGTAGAATTTAAGGTATTTTAATATTCAAGTTGTTTAAGAGTTAAGATTAATGATTGTTAAACTTAACAAAAGACTGTTATGATTCTAATTATATGTAAAAGATATAAGACTGTTTAATATGAATACCAAAATATTTGCTACTGACTTGTTTAATTTCATAATAAAAGGTAAAACTAATTGGTAACAAAGTTGTATTTTTTTTACACCCTGATCCATTAAATGTGGAATAAATCTTAAATTATTGGTTGAACATCGCGACCAGCTGTAATAGATGATAATGCAGTTGTTTTAACGGACACGGACATAGAAAAAAGTAAAATCTAAACATATATTTTTTTCAAAAAAAATATGATATTAAGTTAAATTTACCTGCGCAAAATTTGACAATGACCCACATAATATACATAAACAGAACTAAAAATCACAATTGTCTATAGTTATTTTGAAAATCAGATTTTTGTCACCTACTTTTGATGCTGACTGTACTTACAAATCGAAGAAATAAACAAATCAAAGAAATTAAACCGACTATAACTAAAAAGAGAAATAAAAATCATTAAGTCGGTTGGAGCCATGAATGAAACACGGAAACCAATGAAAAAATTAAACTCTTATTCATGATTCATTTTTCAGGGCTACTATCCACTTGAGTAGGCAACTAACTATCCCTTTTTGAAGTGAAACTTCTAATGCGACTTCCAAGTAGGGATTTTCATCCCTACGATACGAGTAAATACAAATACTTACTCGATACTTTCCTTCCGATACCAAGTATTTTTTGTATCGATACTTTGAAACTGAGTATCGAGTAGGTATCGGTCAAAAGTACTTACATAGGTAAACCAATATCACAAACAACTTGAAGTTAGCCAAAAGCGACGGTGTGCTAACTCAAAAGCAGGCGAAATTTACTTTTTCATTGTTAATTCAGTCTGCACTTCAGTTGGTACTTCTGCATCCTGTGAAAGGTTCTTTTCCAAAGCTGGCGCAACAATCGGTACATCCAGAAATCATCTTCAGGCGTTTGCCTGTTAGATTTAGAAAAATGTATATTTGGGGTGTTAAAACAATGTTATATTTTTTCAAGGTACTTTACTTACTTATATATATTTAACTTTTACTTACTTATATTTAATAAGGCACTTTATTAACCGGGTTTGAACTGTGTTTTTTATATTTTCACATTTTCCCAACGTTTCGAATACTTTACAGGCACATCATAGATTCTTGTGAAAACGGGGCCTGTAAAGGAATCCGAAACGTCGAGAACATGTAAACATATTAAAAAAGCATAGTTCAAACCCGTTAAAAAGTGTTTTATTTAATGATTCATATGAGAGAAAACATAAATAAATATGTACCTATATTTAATATCAAAACTCATTCTTGTTTTCAATTACTTAGTATGAAAAAGTGATCGATACGAGTAAGTATCGATACTTTTCAAGCGATACCAAGTAGGTATCGATACTTTACGACCGATACTGTATCGAGTAAAAGTATCGATACCTTAGTGCTACCGTTTTATCCCTACTTCCAACAAGGTTGCGTTAAACATTTAACGCTACCATGGAGGGTTATACGTTATTGTACAATGAAACCATAGCGCGATGTGTTCCGGTAGCGCGCCATCTATGGCTTCACGGGCGAACTATGAATGAGCCGAACGATTAGCAGAATTACGAAGTTTCACTTCTACCGCGCGGAGGGACTCCCCGCACTAATTTTTTTGAGAGGTCAAATAAAACCGGATTTACTCAAAACCAATATTAATTAACTTTACAAAAATAGGCTACTTTGAAAGATAAAAGACCTGTATACATGATTCATCACTACTAGTAAGTCATCACTACTTTATTGAAAAGTGGTACAACTATCCGGCTTTTACCTTACACGATCGATTTTTCTTTGCGTCGACAAAATCATTTCATTAGGGGTCGTCCATTAATCACCTGATGCTATTTGCAAACTTTTAACCCCCTCCCCTCCCCCTAGTGATATGTGGTGAGGTTTTAGACTAACCTCCCTGGCTGGGAATTTAATTCATATTATATTTATTTAATAAAAATATGGTATCATTCATTAAGCAAATATTAATTTATGCGCACGCGCTATCCCATCGAGGTGAAATTCTGAATTACAATGCTACGGAATGGCGGAGCTCGTAGATGGAAAGTACTCTACACTAGTCTACATCTACAGTCTCTTTCATACGGGTTAATCAGCAATATTCCTAGGATTAATCCATATTACAATAAACAGTTTACTGCATAAGGATTAATCAATATACAGGGTTTTGGTCTTACCGGTTAACCTTTTAATCCGTTTAATAATAATAATAATTTATTCTCAGACAATTTAAGTCCATAAAATGTTAGTAACAATGTACCTTAAAAACTATGTTAGTAAAGTATAAAATAGATTACAAATAAAATAAAATAATATAATCATCCCCTGCTGGAACACAAGGCACCCCCTACATGCGGCCCGAGGGCTTCGCATGCAAATGCAACCAGTGCTCCAACAGTGGAGAATCCCACCTGTCAACTAGTGCCGACAGGATGCTGTTGGTGCTGCCACGTATTCTGCTCAGTAGTGCCGCGCAGCGTTTCCTTATTATGGCATGAAAGCCGTCAATATGCACATCTGCGAACATACTTGAGGCACTACAACACCACGGCAAACCCAACAGCACCCTGAGAGCATTATTGTACTGGACCCGTAGTGCGCTGTAAGCCCTCTGCGTAAATCGGACCCACAGGCTACACGTGTAGATAGACTGGCAATACGCCTTGAAAAGTGTAATTTTTACTTGCTTTGTACAACGTGCGAACCTGCGAGCTAGCATATTACATCGAACTGCCAGCGCCCTACGTTCCCTATCAATATCTATATCATCCTTTAACATATCTGTAACCCAGTGGCCAAGGTATTTATATTGAAATACTCTCTTTAAATTTGCATTACAAAGTTTGACAGGTAAATCAGGACTAATACATTTTGTCCCAGCTTTGAATACCATAAACTCACTTTTGTTGGCGTTATACTTAAGCCCGTGAGCTTCTGCATAGCGTTCACAAATTCCCAATAATTTTCTCAAAGCACCCACTGAAGGGCTCAGCAGCACCATATCATCAGCATAACTAATATTGTTCACACAGACTCCGTCTACGTGACAACCTACGCCAGTGCTGCTGAGCCCCCCAATGAGCGCGTTGATGTAAAGATTGAAAAGACGTTGTGAGGTTATTCCTCCCTGTCTTACGCCACACTCAAGCTTGTATGCACTAGA